TTTTTTTTTTTTTTTTTTTTTTTTTTTTTTTCCCCCTAAAAAAAAAAAAAAACAAATTGGACCATTTCTCGATTTATGTGTGTCACCCTCGTGCAGGGCCATATCACGTCGGCGCGGCTGATCTCAGCCGCGCGATCTCGAGGATCGCATGGCCGAAAATCGGCCGCCCCCTTATCACATCGCGGGCTGCTCCAAAAGGAGCTAGCCCGGTAGCGCACTTTGTCAGGTTTGATCCCTGTGTCCGCAGGGTGGTAATCTGGCGACAATACCTACTAGGCTAGCTCCTTTTCACATCACAAAAGGAGCGGCCCTTCCATATGAAGGGCTCCTCGTGCCCAGCAGGCCCCTTGCTAACGCCTAGCAGGCTATGCCTGCTAAGCCGGCTTGCGGTCGTGGCTGGCAGGCGGGGTCGGCGGCCGACAGCTTGAACAACTGTCGTACTTAGCCGGCCTCGACGCCTTCGCCCTCGGGTCCTTGGCGCAAAAGCCGTATGGACCCTAAGCCATCCTTTTACACCGCGGTCCATCTTGCCGTGGCGACCCCATTCTTGCCCGCTTGGGCCCTGAATCGCGCGGCTTAACAGCCGCGCGACCTCATCATAGGTAGCCTAGGTTCAACTTTAGTTTCCCCACGACCGCACACCAGCGCGGCCTCGTCGAAATCCGCGGACGACAGCGCCGACCCCCGTTATCCCGCACGGATATCGGTGTCGTCCTGCGTCGACGACGTCAGGTTCAAAAGTTCAAGTCTTTCAGTCATAGCACTGGTCTGGATAAACTCTGGCAACGTCAGTCTCATCAAGTCTTCTAATTAAGTGAGAAGGTCCGACAGCGTCCGACGTTGAAAAACACGGGCAGATACCCTTGTCAGGGTTTCTGCCCCGACAGCATTCCCAGGCGCCATTGAACGACTTCCACGTCGTTCACGTGGTCGGTACTTCTCAACATAAATTTTTACAAATACCTTTCTTAGTATCTTTCAATCTTAATAAAATCACAGATACTTTAACAAGCGGATATCCGAAAAAACGGACTCCTTACCATTAAACGAGTTATGCCCTCGAAGCCAAAATTTACAATCATTCTGCATTCATCGGTTGGGTACCAGATTCAGCCCCTGGAAGCCCAAAATTTTGAAACTCAGGCCCAGCTTCAGCCCCTGGAAACCCAAAATTCAAAGGACTTAGTTTTCATGGTTCTGGCTAACAAAATTCACTTGGTTGGAAAACATTATTTTAATCATCTGGGCAAGCAACCATCGCCGCCGGGATTTTAACCCAGGTCTCTCATGTCCATGGGGATGCATCCACAACACCTCAACACACTCACGTGTCGCCAGGAGTTTAACCTGGACCTCCCACGTAACACAAAGATACTCGTACTATACTACAGTCACGGTTGTCGGGGATGATAATAGCAAGGCTCCGGCTTTCCACCATCCCTTCTGGAAGTCCCGTATTAACGTTCAGCTAGTTCCCAGAATGAGCCAGGAATAACCCCTGACAGGCCTCCATAACCCAACCTATGATAATCGTTTAGCCATTCATTACAAGAACCTTTTATTTAAGTCCTTTACCTGAGTTCCATAACCCATCCGATTGTGCAACTTAACAAATACCAAGGATTATTATGCCTTAGTACCCCCGAACTCTATGTGACTGCGTCGAGGAGTGGTGTAATCCTCCACAAAGGATAACATCTCGACATCAAGCCCCGCTTTAGATTCGAGCCTCACCACATTCCCTCCGATTCCAGTATCGCAACTCTGTTAATGCCACATCTACAGGGCGAGACAACCCCATCCCTATTGTCCAAGTTGGTCAGACGAGGATCATAAGGACGCGGCGACCCTGCATATCACAAGGATAGACGACCAACCCCACCCCTGTGATAAGCAGCGATCGCTCCCCACCATAGGCGAGATGTCAACAGGATTACGACACCATCCTCATTTTCGAAGATAGTGTAGCCATCGTCCTTTTTCAAGGAAAATGACATCATCTCGTTGTGGACCAGGAACCAAGTTCCGGCACGAGCCTCACTACCACCTACAAGGCTCACATCTTTCAGGAACATCAAGACACAATAAGGACTAGGTATTACATATAAACTTATTATATTTATTAAACCATGTGCCTACAGAACGAATACTTATCGTTAGGGAAGTCACATGTTTCAAAATTTTATACACATTTTACACATTAAGTCATGACTTTGCACAAATGATTCAAATCAATCCCTCACAAGCAAAACTCATTCCATATAAGAAATAAAAAAGATGTATGCTCAGAGAATCATCTTGGCAAGGCTTGAAAAAAAAATAATTATGCACATCAATTATCTTGCTCGAGAACGAAGAATAATGACAAAAATGACATCAATAAGTAATTCATTACAAGTCCATATGTGTCTGTCCATTACATGGAAAATATATCTTACAAATACTTAATCATAGAATCAGGTTAGCCTGTGGTATCAATATCCGTTAAGAAAAGTAAGGCATTATCTAGTCCCTATGAACAAACTTCTTCAAGAGTGAGCCCGAAACCCAATCTCGCCCACGTGTTCCATCCATCTCCTCAATCTCGTATGCCCCATGCTCTGTTTTCTTAGTGATGCGATATGGTCCCGTCCATCGATTATCTGATTTCCTCGACCACTGCTTTTCAAGAGAAGAGTCATAGAGGAGGACAATATCCCCCACTTCCAATGGTTCCTTCCGAACCCAGGGTTGCTTATCCCATCTAACTTTGTCCGCCCGTCTGCTGTCCGCAGTTGAAGCAGTAGCCTCTACAACTCTTTCCTCAGTCGCCTTTATTTGTCTGGCCCTCAGGTCCAGCAACTCCTCTGTAGAAAGCATGACCTTCATATCCTATTTTTGCCATGTGGTCAGGAAACTCTCGATTGGAAATGTAGCATGTCGTCCAAACCATAACGTAACCGGAGCATACCCAGTAGTTCGTTTCACAGTTATATTTTCAACAAATATGGCAGCTCTGAGATAGACGGGCCATGCTGACGGCTTGCCAGCACACCATTTGACTAGCAAATTAGTCAAGGTGGCATGCCCACGTTCTACTGGAGCATTTGCCTGGGGATGTGCTCTAGTGGTGTAACTATGGTTCACTCCCAGTCTTTTCATAAGAGCCTGAACCTCTTCTGCCCGAAATTCACCTCCTCGATCCATCACAAATTCCCGAACAAATGGGTACCGAAGGTAAAATTCTTCGATACATTCTGCCAAAATTTTCCCAGTTCACTTACGGATTGCACGCCCATCAACAAACCTGGTAAGATTGTCTCTCGCATCAAATATGTACCTGTACCCATTAAGTCCGGGTGGCATAACGACCAGGTCGAGGTGCACAACCGCACCTGGCTCAACCACATATCGTGGATTAAGTGGCTCAGCATAGCGGAGATTCGAACGTTTCTGACAGGGGACGCACGAGTTGCAAAACTCTGCCACCACCTTACCCATACCATCCCAAAAATAGAGATGTTGGATCTTTCTCAAGGTCACTCGTGCAGATCGATGTCCACCTGCCATTCCATCATGTAGGGCTGCAATCACATCCAACTGTCTGGGAACCCCACACACCACTCTCTTAGGCGTACCACCGTCAGACTTTTTGAAGAGATGCCCCTGTCGAACGGCAAAACCCTTTGCCTTTTCTCTTATTTCTGGCTCTATCTTTGCCTCGTTCAGGTCCCCGTTCAGCCAAAGCCCAATCTTCTAATAAATCCCATCATATTCCTCCTCACGAAAGGCTTCTTTGATCTCACTGCCTTCTCCTTCTTCCAACATTAGCTTACCGTGATCTTCTTGTATCAACGAATTAACAAGAAACACCATTCCCCCAGAAATCTTGAGGACTTTGTCGCCTTGCTCATGCCCCCCTTCAATCGTAAGAGGTTCTTCCGAAAGTTATACTGGGTCAGACAACGCCAACCTCATCATCCGCTCAGCAGACCGTTCACCCCAAGGATCCTCCTCAAAAAAAGGTTCCCTCATCACCAACTCTGCACACTTTTGATAAGAACTCGGCGAACTCCAGATAGACTTCCCAGGTCGGGACGACGCATTACTGATGTATTCCCAAACATTGATACTCAGCTGTTGCTCGTCCATCTCCAGAAACCCATCCACAAGGACCGAATCTTCTGCCTGATCTTTCGAGGAGTCCCACTCGATCCGACTCAATCCGTCGGCTCGATTTTGTGTTCCCGCAATACGCTCGATCTCGAAATCGAACATCCAGATATAGATCAACCATCGAGCAATAGTTGGATCCGAGGGAGAATAATTCTTCAATGACTGCACCAGGGCGGTCGGATCAACCCGCAGGACGAACCGTCTTCCAAACACGTAGTTTCGGAAGATCCTGAAGCAATGAAGCACTGCAAGGGTTTCCTTCTTAAATTGGGGCATTCAGCGTTTGACTTTCAAATCTCAATGGCCTTTCTCGCCCTTCTTCATCCTTTTGGATGAGGACTCCACCCAATGCTGTGGGGCCTGCATCCGTTTCAACCACAAAGGGCCGATTCGGGTCATTGTCAAAGTACGAAACCCCCAGGATCAACCTTCCTTCTTGGAATTGTGCCTTGATGTCGTCGACTGCCGCCTGCTGCTTTGGACCCCATTCCCATTCCTGATTTTTACGCACCAACTTTCGTAGGTGCTCCACCCTTGCGACAAACTTGCGAATGAAGATGCGTCAGAATCCGCAAGTCCCCAAAAACGGCGCACATCAGTAATGGACGTCACCGAGTTCAGCTTGTGCAAATTCTGCACCCATCGCAATATGCCATTTGGCCTGATCAAACAAAACCAAGGAGACGCATATGGTCCATATGAGTAATCCACGACCTTTATCCGAATCTTACCATCCAAATATTCAACGACTCTACAATGATCATCCGGATTTGGATAACGCGCACCTCGTATGTTCCACGGCTCGTGAGGTACCGTATGAACCCTGATCATCGGAATCAGATCAATGTCAAGCCTCCCTCGCTCATCATCATCGAAGGCATAAGCCAAATAGGTTTTCTTCATGACGCTGACAAGGAAGTCCACCTCCTTCTCAGTAAGAGACCCTTCCTCTCCAATGATCATATTCTTAATCCTCTCCTCCGTCAATCGACATGGCTCCTTCATACTCTTTTCTTTCCTCATCCTGATTCATTCTCTCTCCTCTTTATAGTACACTTCTTCCTCTTGCATGATCAAGACGGGCACTGGCCGAGCTTTCTTGCCTACTCTCTTGTACTTACGTTTCGCTCCAACTCCAAGTCGTCCACCTCTAAAAAAAGCCCTTGCTTGGCTTCTGGCTCCGCCAATGCATCACCCTCAAAAGACCTGTCGGGCCGATAGGTAAGATACATCCTACCAGTCCCGCCTTCTCCTGCCACAATCTCTGTCAATGTTTGGACCAACTTGGGATCCACAGACGAGTCTGTCGCAACGAACTCGATCGCTTGAGAGATGTTGGGTAGAGCAAGAGACAATTCCTAGGGATCGCTCTCTTCTCCGAGGGATTCCTTCTCCCTTCTGAGTCTTTCGTATTCCGTGAAAGAGTAGGACCCCGGATTGAGTCGGTTCCTTGAGTTGGTTGGTCCTGTGTTCTCACACTTCAACACCTCGTAATAGCCACATACGGGGTCACACAAAACCACGATCATAGTACCATCATGCTTGTTAAAGATGATGGATTCTGATCGACATAGAAAAACTCTGCTCAACAATACGGCATGCTCAACCCTGGGTAGCACATAGAAATAAGAACGAACTTTGACTTTACCAACCTGTACCGTCACATCACTCGTCGTTCCGCAAAAGGGAGTTATCCCACTTGCACCCACCAGAAATCCAGTATCTGCTCGATTGATGTTGACTCGTGCCCCCATGGCTTCTCTTTCCCGTATAATGTTCATTTCAGCTCCATCATCGATGAAAGCTGAATATTCACATGGCCCAATTTGGACTTTCAACAACCCAGTAGCTACACAGTGCCAGTCCATTTTTGTCCCAGGCGGAACCGAACTAATCTCTTGAGGAAAAATATCACTCATCTTAACCGTCATCACCTTTTTCCTTGACAGTCGGTGTCTGAACTCCTCTCGGATTTTCGGTGAAGCGGCCAAGAATTCCTTGAGCGTGAACAAATCGCGTTGGCTCTCCAGAATCCGATCCACGATTTGCTCAATATCCAGCCCTTGCTCTACCGGAATCGTGTAAACTTGCTTCTTCTTTTTCAACTCACCCTCCCCAATATCGGCCTTGCCCATTTCTGATTCCCTCTCCATGACCCGTTGTTTGGCCTGCCGCTCATTCTCGGCCCGCAACAATTCGTCCTCCTCACCATCGTCCTCTTCAATTGAAACTGTCTCGGTTTTCCGAGGCTGACTTGGTCCCTCTTCTGGCGCTGCCCTTGGCCGCGGCGGCCTTCGAGCCTTCCGAGCTTGTGGGAGACCAGCGGTGGCTGGTCGCTTGAAAGCAGGACGGGACAAAACCGTGGTGGCCATCAAATGCCCTGCCGACGACGATCCAGGCTGTGATGCGGTACCATCAGTAAGACCTCATTGGCCGTCTCTGTCCCATCCTCCAAACAGAAAAACTTGGGGAAGCCCGGACCATTCTTCATTCACGAGCTCGCTGCAGTTTCTCTTCCTGCTCTTTGCTCAACCCTTCATCTCCGGTCTTGGCATCCTCAATCATCAATGACTCCATCGTCGCTTCCAACTCAATCTGTTCGACCTCTTTCGGAGAAGCCAGTCGAAAAGTTGCTGGAAGATCTCGCCCCATACGTCGGAAAGCTTCCTTTCTCATTCCTCCCTCCACATTGGGATCAATGAGATTCCCTTCGAAGTCGTAGACCTCGCCTCGGATATTCGTATATATAACCTTATCGTTTTCATCTTTGGTAACGGTCTGACAAAACTGTATCCCATGTCCATCTTGGCCACAGTACTTGCAAAACCAATTCTGCCAATTGCCTCGGCTGCCCCCATTTCCTCGGCCTCCCTCATTGCTTTGGCCTCTACCTCTACCTCGGCCACGGCCTCCTGCCTGAGGTTGGGGCTACTGAGGAGGGGCTGGAGCCGCCTGTTCCTGATTACTTCCTTGTCCACCTCCTCCATTATTCTTCCGCTATTTTTTACTAGTGCCCTGCCCTCCTCGTATCTGGTTCAGGGCCTTTCGTTCTGCTTTGGTCAATTTTCGAGGAGGCTCCTCTTCCTCCTCGTCTTCCTCTTCACTGCTGCTATCACTCACTTCCTCCACAACGGGTGCTTTCCCCTTCCTTTTCCCACCTTTTGTCTGGACCATCATCACCTGTAGCTTCAGCCTTTCCTCCTTCATATCCGCCATAATGTTCAGCATGTCAGTCAGGGTCTTGTAAACGGCTTGATCCTTGTCCGCGCTTACCCCTTCCTTCTCACGGTCCTCCTTTTGCTGCTTCAGGAGACGATAAAGCATTTGGTCGAAACTTCCGGCCAACAGATTTTCCTTTATCTTTGGCCAGTCGTATCGCCCAGTCATATCCCTCATCAGTTCTCGCTGCTCAACTTTCGAAAAATTTTCGAGGAAGATGAGACACCGATCCTTATCTGGAAGGTCAGGCACTAAGCGCGCAACCCGCTCAAACTCCGTAAGAAACTGCTTGGCCGTACCAAACTTCCGACGACTAACCTTCCGTAAGTCCGCCAGATCGAGCAGTTGATCCCCCAACTGGTACTTGTCCAATAATTTGGCCTTAAAGTCCGGCCAGTCGCGCGAAGCTTGCACCAACTCCGACACCTCCTCTTTGTACTTAACCATGCAATATCGCTTTACCATCTGAAGCATCTTCTCACTCGACCATTCGCAGCAACTGCCCAATTGTTCAAACTTGTCCGCCCATGCTGAGGCATTCGTGCCATCGAAGAGGGGAACTTGAACCTTCGGCAACTGTGTCTTCTGATTATCAGCCTCACGAATGACTCGTGCGAGTTCCAGAATATCGTTGCGACGATCCCCTGCATTACTATTTGCGGGATCAATATTTTCTCCCGTCATCTTGAGTGAAATCAACATGACAAACCCACATGTCCAAGTGTCAAATAGATTCCAACAATTCACTCCAAACCTTGCCTTCTTTCTTTTCCCAGACATTAATAACCACTAATTCCTTTCAATCTTAACAAATAATACACAATACTTAAAATCACCATAACCATCATTTTCCCGAGTGTCGTTCCACCAGGGACGACGGTAGTTCGCCGTCATCCCCGGCAACGGCGCCACCTGTCGAGCGCATCGGCCCTCGCGTGAACGAGGGCCCTCCCGGCTATGTCACGCAGGAGTTAGAAAAACATAATCGAGAGACAACTTAGGACGATGCAGAAATAATCCCGCGAACCGCCGAGACAGACGAGGTCGCATTGTCCCTTCGCCGCTCTAGCCGGGTGCGCCAGCTATACATCCCGCGGTCCCCTACGACAKGATAGRTTTTCGCGGGGCACAACTTATCTTCCYTKAGGGGCTRTCACCACCCTCARGGGCGTATCCCTACCRAGCTACTRACCCACGTGYGAAARMTTTTACATGCAATTGCAGAGGTAGGTCAGCCGAGGGCGTTTGCTCGCTCGCTGGAGTATAGGTACGCTTGGCTAACGCCAAGTGGACCCGAACGTTGTTCGTTCCCGAGGRCGCTGATCTCCTCGGTACGAACGAGCRTCGGTCGACTAGGACSGCCTCGACCAAACGCGAAATCCAACATRTARTCCTAGCCCCTTTATAATCMCCTAYTCATAAAATGAACGAAACCAATACATAACCAAYATTTCRACTTGATGAGATGATATGCCAAKGTTATCATTTCCTGCMTACCTGACTGACGAGACAATTATACCGTCATCCGAGGACGGAAGATCCGTCGCGCACAACCTCTATGAGTAAATACATGCAGATCAACAAGTGATCTGCTTCCTGGTCGATGTTTAAAATCCCGGTCCGACCGCACCGTCGTACCACACRCATCTACTTRRAGGAGCGAATGATAATTTTGTTTGTCGCTTTGTCCTCCTAGRCAATAATTACTCTCTCTGTTCCACGAATGACGAAGTAKCCATTGCCAACACAAGGTTACTTGGCGTGGGACTGTTTCGTCTTCKGTTACCCYGTCCTCGTTGTTCCGCTCGACACCTYTTCAAGTGTTCGGCCTTCGCTTTGTTCAGCGTATTTTTAAGTGGTCGATTACCCCTCAATGCATCAACATGATAGTGCTATCATCGGGGCAATCCAGATACTATCCATCTGGTTGGCCTACCTACGCAAGATTTTTTTTTTATTTTTTTTTTCTTTATTATTACCCTTGCAGAGTCACGTAGATGTGGCCCTACAAAAGAACCACTTACCACTGCACCTGACTCGGGAGGGAGCGCTCAGCCAGGATAAACCTGTCGGCCCTCACGGACCTCTACCTCTATCCGGTCGAGTCGCGTAAGCTCCTCGTCGTCAAAAGTCAAGGTGGAGACACGTTCACCTCGCACAACTCGGACCTTCCGCGTATCATAGAGAGAAGCCATCCGTGAGGCGAGCTTCCAGACTATGGCGCGGAACGGCTGACACATCCGAAAAAGGTGCTTGGTCGTGGTGTCCTTAATCCGGATGACGCCGTAGCGCTTCCCGGATAGGGTAATTTTAACGCTCACAATGACCCGAGAGAGGCGTTGGAGGTTGCTCGCGCGATGGAAGTACAAGGTATATCCGTGAACTTCGTCCGGAAGTCGGGCCACATTGGCACGAACATCTGCACGCGAGTTAGGGAAAAATCCCTGCCCATCACTTAGCAGGCCGATAAATCCAACCCAATGTGTGGGCACTCCATCTCGAACCAGTAATAGTCGCTCTGCTTCCCGGATCAGCTCCTCGTCCGTAGTGTCGCGACTCAGTAGATATCTGGCCTGAGTGAAGTCCCGCCGTCCGCTAGGCATCTGCATACCGAAGAAGCCACCTGTTAGAAGAGGCGCTCGTAAATTTCGCAAGCCTCGTCATAAAACGCGGTGACGTCGAAGCGTTCCGAGCGAATGATATTAAATCTATTCGCTCGGACCCGTCTCACATGATGAAGGAGGCCGCACGGACCATGCAAATCGTTCAAATGAAGTACAATATGGAGGAACATCCCTCTAACCTAAGGAACGTTCTCTACTTCTGGACATTCCTCGTGAACCACAACTAAGTTCATGTCTCCGTAATCTCGTGATGGATTAGGAGGCGCAAAATCATATCGTACAATACGCTGGTCTGGCTCGACCAAGAAAATATAACTCCGCGGTGGTTTCCTCGCGCTCCCTTCCCAGAATCGTGGCACGTCCCATTCCGAGTAAACCTGTAGAGGGTTGTACAACCTTCCTTTCCATGTCATGCCGGCGCGGGATCGTGTCGGCACCGCTAGCCAATTAACCGCCGCCTCGCGTGTGCTAAACAGTCGGAGGATTACCGTTTCCGCAAGCATCTGAACGACGAAGCGGTAACTCTGTCAGAGTAAATTTAGATATACCCCCTTTCATATTCAATCTTCTATCCCCTTTTTGGGCCGTGATTCTTATGTCACGGTCCTTCCGCGGAAGTAGTGCCTATTTGCACTTCTTTTAACTCTAGTTGAGCCACAGGCTGGGCTTCTTATGGCACCGGCCCTCCCATGCGTTGGTGGCTCCTAAGACGGCCACCCAACAGGGTACTAGATTCAGCCTCCCCTTTCCCTGAAAGCACGAGGAGGCGACTGCTTCTAGCTTCAAGACACCCCACCCTCTAGGAAGTGGTTTGGAATACCCCTGCCCCTCGCCCGAACGCATTCTTCAGGACTCAGAAGTTGGGCTGGCTCCACTGCAACAGCATGGTATCCCCCCGCATAAGCGGTCCACTCCGAGTCGATAACAGGGCCGGCCCCTAAGGCAACGAACCCCCGCCTCAGATACCTCCTAGATAGAGGAAGCCTAGACCCTAGGTGCAGACGACCGCTCTATGCCCTCCCGGCTAAGGGTCGACTTAGACGAATTAAGAAGAGAAGGAAGTAAAATATTTTTAGACGGGCATAGGAGGATAATGGTCGTTCGGGATAGAATGGGGAAGTCCTTGGGAAGGTACTAAGGTGTTCCCTTGTCTTCTCTTCTTTTAATTTTCCCACGGCCTTCGTTCTTCCGGCACCCGTCCGTTCGCACTCCCGTCATTATTTCTGTTCCTCCTCTTTTCCGTCACATGCATTCAGGTTGAGTGGGAGAGAGGTAAGCATCTCGATTATTATCTCGAGCAAACAATGTTGATTCCTTTTCACGTGCATCTCCCAACCTACCTGCACAATCAAAAAAATAAACAATCAAGAGATTCATCCATCCCTCAAACAAGTCAGCCCTTTCTCCACACGCATGACATCACACTCTCACTCCACCCTTTCCCTTGAATTCAAAGCAAGGTCATGCAAGGTGTGGGTTCACGCGGGTGTGCAAAGGAGCTGAGTCGCACTGACCTTGAGTGAATTTCTTGAAGGCTCACTCAAGAAAGYCAAGTCTTCGCTGAAACAAGTTCGGCCGCAAAACTCTCGTTGTGGCCACTCACAAGGATGGGTCACACCCTCTTTCAACCACCACCTCTGACTCAGACGTCGCTCACCAACACAGAAGCGAGCCCGCCGTTGAGGAGGGCGCCACACTCTCACTAAGAACAGTGCCAACTCAACCCACCAAGTACCAAGTCAGGTTATCACCTGCCTGCCGCAATACTTGGTGGTTCTGGATCCAGTCCCCTACTCGTTCAGCGTGCCGCAAAAAAAATAACTACGGCCTTGACCATTCCCTCAAGTGYCACATGCCGCAACGTCCTCAACAAAACGATCACCACACTCTTTTTATCCCAAGGTGCACTTCCACCTCGGCGGTATCGTCCCTGCGGCAACGTCCAACCCCCCTTCTCGCAATCCTGTGCAAAATACTATTGCCACACAATCCAGTAGCACCCGCGCCGTACCGCCAAGAAACCCAGCGCTGCCGCCGCACAATTTCGGCAGCGCTTCYGCCGTATCGCCAAGAAGAMTAGCGCTGCCGTCCCAAGAATTYGGCAGYGCTTCCGCYGTCCYACCAGGAGAACTAGCGCTGYTGCCGCWCAATTTCGGCAGCGCTTCCGCCGCACCACCCAATCCAGCGGCAKCCTCYCGGCTATGGCTCCCCCACAGCCTGCAGCACAGCACAAGAGGTGGGGCAAAAAGCTCCCAGCCTCTAGCTATGGCTGCCTCCTTCTTCCTCCAAGTGCTTCTGCAGACCTYCAGCACTTCGCCTTATCACGCCARCAGCCAGCCARCCAGCATCTACTCAGGTAGAATGCCCTAGCAACATCGCCACAAGTGTGAGGCTGCTGGGTGGCAGGCTARCTTTTATAGCTGGCCGAARGCTGAGGGCAGCTGCTTTGCCCCCAGCCAAATCCCGGAATAGAGCCTGRCCCTTGATCAAACTTGTGATCAAGGGCCAAGGAACTTGATGTTCCCCTAGGGGAACCAAGTTCTGACCCTTGACAGTGCATCTGGCCTTCACCCGCGGCCAAACGCAGCATTTTCAAGCAGACTGTTGAACGCAACAGTCTTCAGTCTATTCACAGTCCAGATGCTTCTAAACTTGCATCTGGACCGAGGCTGCGGCTAGATCCGCGACAATTTCTCTTTTTTTTT